CAAACATATTACTAGCATTGCTTTGATATGTAGAATATAATTTCCGATATCAAGTGAGTTGTAATAGTTTGTTTTCTCAGTCTTCGCTTATGTACAATTTTACTATAACTTTTTAAGTCAAAGGAATTTCAATAGTTGTTGAAAACATACATTTTTTGATTATTATTCGTTGGCAAAATTCATTAATAAAATTAAAATTCATTAGTGGCATAAAATTTAAAGACTTTGACGAGACAAAATTAAATAACTTTCGGTCTAAAATTGTGATATTGTAGTTATACCACGTTGCGTAAGATTGAACTTTTCCATATAGCAATAAGGCCGACGCTATTTAATTGAGCAAAGATATTTTTGTGTCTTTTTCCTCTAAGTCCCTTTTCATCCGATTTGGCCTTGACTTGGATTTCAAAGCAGAATCTAATTTAATTTTAACACAACTGTTCACATAAACGTTGTTAATATATTTTAACGGAGGATCATTGAAAAAATTGTTTCAAACGAAACAGATTAATTTACTTATTACTAAGCGTTATAGTAATAGTAACGGAATAAATGTACCAATTCCATGATACACTTTGTAGTATTTTTGAATTAAATAAGCCATCATAAAATTATGATTGGCAGATTAAGTTACTCGCACTAAGAAAGGTTGAAGGCGTCAGGTTGACGGCCCCAGCCTGTGACGTCACCGCACTGACCACTCTGGGACCGCCACAATGGCCTTTCTCAGAAGGAGCAGATGCGCTTGCGCTATTCACGCCCCTATTTAAATAGAACTTAGAATATGTTACCCTTGAAGTACAGTATTTAGACGCCGTATTTAGTCATTAAACATACATATTATTTACTTAAAAATATAATTTTGTGCGATCTTGAGGCATGTAATCATTAATTAACATCAAAAAACTTAACAGTAAATAAACAAAAGTTAAGATGCAACGTATAAATCTAAACGACATATTTCGACCATTGAGCAGGTAGACGCCGAAGTTACCGCGTACCTGCCACGCTAAGGTACCATTACCGAGACACACCGACCGCGAAGCCCGCCCATTACCACCGGCACGCCATCACGCGAAGATCATCGCAACTTCCATGGATGAGTGTGGATCTAGTCATGATGATAAAAAAACATGCACTAAACCTCCACTCATCGAAAGAAATTGACCTTGTATTAGAGCGTAGCCTGCGCCGAATCCAGCACTGCACGCACTTTAAGCGATGTCACGTTGCACCGAACTGATCGTTAACGAACACGTTGCCGTGTTTAAAAAAAAAGTAATGAATTAAATGCCGACGCGCTTCTGACACGACGTGAGCGCTGCCCGTAAACTCGACACGAAATAAACGGTCGAGATTTGAAATCTGAAAATCTAGACGCTGCGTTAGCGACGGTAGAGGGGAGGACTCAGCCAATGGAGAACAAGCGCGCGCAAACCGTGACGCGGTGGGGCGCACCGCCGCGTACCGATATTATCTTTTCTATATAGCATAAAGAACGTTATTTTCTTTCTTTCCTACTCGCTCGTCCGCCTGTTCAACGGACAGCGGAAGTGAAATGAACGTTGAACGCGCGCGTAAAACATTGGCATGGCAGTGCCAAGACGCTCGCACACCTGTCTTACTTTTAAATACCTACGTAATACATGTATGTAATGGAAGTGCAAAATCACATGAGAAATAGATTAAAATCTACAACAGGAACCAGAACGTGTAAGAATTCACCAATGCCGTAGTTTTGGGACGCCTCCAAATGCATTTAGATCTAAACAAAGAACCGGCCTGACAACTTCCCCTAAGGCAATGCGATAACACTTGTAAATTTCGCTGGTCGTAATACTAAAGGTAAGTCTACATAATGGAGATGCCCTTTAATATCTTTCATAATAAATTTTTGAACGACAAGGAATCGAAACTAAAATTAGAATAACGAAATAAAAAATACTGGTCAACGTCTACTTTTCACAGAAAAGTTATCAAAATTTATTGAACACTAAAAATTAGGTGAGATCGCCTTAGGCAGCTCCTTGGAATATAAAAATGTACAATCGATAACAAATCTCATCAATCAAATTGAAATATAGAAACGTTCAACTTAATTTCTTACTTTTTGACAATTACAAATTAATATACCTTAATTATAATATATTTTACAAACGGATTATACAACTTAATGTTTTTAGAAAATTTTGAATAAATTAACTGTTGAGACGTCGGGCTCCTTGATATACAGGGAGGCATTTTTAAAGGTGCCCAAATTTACACAGGAGGCTCAGAGTCGGTAGTATAATCGTTTATTGAAACAAAAACAATTTTTTTTTCAGAAAAAATTACTATTCTATTCCCTAAAAAACAGAACTTGTTGACAACGCGGTAGTCATTTATAAATACCTAAATTTTACTTTTCACACACACAAACGAATTTATGTGCGTGTAGTTATAAATGATCGTAAAATAAATAAATGAGTTGCGTATAAATAACGCACTTTGAGATAAGTTCAAATGAATGTAATTAATTACTTACGAGTGATTTAAAATATTTATCATTTTTTTATACAGCGTGTCTTTACCATCGCGACAATAAATGAACACACATATAGAGGATAACTTTTTAAAATTGTATTAAACATTTACTTTCTTTAAACATCAATATTTACAGAGTTATTAAATTTTCCAAAACAAAGAAGTTTAGAACACCCTTACGTATAAAACTGTAACGTAAAGTTCATTTGTAAAGGTCACAAAGCATATGAATGGGTTGAATGAATTTAAAAGAGACAAAACATAATGTAAGAAGGAGAGGCTTGTAATGCGACGCTGTGGCGCGAGTTGTATAGGTGTTACAAATTTTGTTTCTTTTTTAATTAATTTGTTTCAAAAATATTTTTTTTTAATTATGGATTTTTTTAAATGTTAATATTTTTTTATGATTATTGGCAAGTAGCGTTAGACGTGTTCATTTATTGTCGCGATGGTAACGACACGCTGTATAACATTATTTATGTCTAGAATTTAATTTAAAAAAATGGATACACTTAGAAAAGCCTCCCTGTATACACCTAAAAAAATTAAAATATTTGCATAAATGTAGTACGTAATGTGATGGCGGATTTTCTTAGTGTATCTTTATCTTTTAAATACATTTGTCAGTTAATAAAACCGTATAAAAACTTTTAAGTTAAACTGCAATTGGGCATAGTATTGCCCTGTTATCTTTTTCCCTTTTTCTAAGTAGGCAATATAGTAGAAGATCCGAACCTAAATCGACCGATTAACCGAGCTGATAATAGAATAAAATTTATTTTATAATAATTTTAGTATATTAAAAAATATATTAAAAATAGGGTGTCTAAAAAAATCCTGGACAGAATATTTTTAACAATTTTTAAAGAAATGATTTTTCATGAAATGTTCGGAGTTCGCAAACGAACAGCGACATTGTCACTTTGTGCATCATAGGCACATTACACTAATGTACGTTTAATGCCTAATTTAAGGCAGTACGCGACTAGCCCAGTATATGTCTTATGTATGGACTAGCCACTGTCCAACCAATACCATTTATTTATACCATTTACCATACGTGTGTTAATAAACCATATATGTGTTAATAAACCATTTATCAGAATATTTATGAACTCTCTCCCTGTACACACCTTCTTCAGTTGCAACATCAAGCTAATAAGAAAATAACTATCCTGACTTGCATTAGAAAACATATAGAATCTGCAGCCGTTGGGTTGTCTATTACTTGGTCGAACTTCTGGGTTGCCAAGTGTAAATGTCGGTATCAGTTACTTTCACTGATTGGCTAATAGAAAAAAAATTATATCAACTTATGCGTTGTTTTATTGCGAATATATAGTTAAATACGTTGATATAGGGTTGTCTGCGAAAAATTAGGTCCTAATAAAGGTTCCCGAATTTTAAAGATTTAAATTTCAACGCTCCAGAATTCTTATAAAAGCTTCTGATACTGATGTTCTCATAATTTTACTCGGAAATATGCACAAACTGTCGAAGTCTGCAATTTTTCTCAATTTTGACTAAGAAGCAATCGAACTACCTCCAATGCATTAACTGCATCAACTTGGCATTAAAGTTGGGACCCAAAATATGTGGCAGACTTTTACCTGCTTATCATGCATTCACAGGTTGTGATTACACTGCGGCATTCTATAGGTAATGAAGGAAAGCTTAGACCATTTAGAATATTTCAACATGTCACACAACGGCACAAAATGATGCAGAAATTCCTACGGATTAAGTTTGAACACGGCCAAACACTGCTCCGAAGTAGTCTTGTCGATTAATTTTTGTTCCTCCGTGAGTAATCGCGGCATTCATTTCGCCGAAGCTTTCTTCATACCCAACTTTTCTTCTTCCAATATGTTTTGTACCCGATAGAAACTTAGGTATTAAACTTAAAAAATTATGCTCGATAGAAACGCTCACAACATCAAAGATTTATCTAAGGTTTATTCGGCGGTAGACTTAAACGATATTTTCAATTTCCTTAACCATATCCTCTGTAGTCACGTAAATTGGGCGGCCTGGGCGATGCTCATTAAAGACGGCTGTTCTCCCCCGCTTAAATTCGTTAAACCAATATCTGATGGTCCTCGATAGAAGTTCAGAAGGTATTGCAATCTTTATACATTTAGGTTCCGTGTAATACAAAACAGTAGTTTTCTATTTTTAATAATTCGTTGTCAGAATTATTACTTTCCATTTTCTTTTGTCGTTTTTCGAGTAAACCATAGTGAAAATGTAAATATATAAAATACTTAATACTAGTAAAAATACTTTCAGGTAAATCGTATTACTTACGTTCTTTTTTAAATAGGAAGTATCAAGTAATCAAACACAAAAAATCATACATATTTTATGAAAGAAAAGTTAAGAATCTTAAATGTTAGGTAGTAGCTTTGTAATGGTGTTCACACAATCTTAAACTTCATTCTGACATCGAGATTGAAACAAAATATAAAAATGAATCACGGGTTGTCATTGGCCATAATTATAGAACATCCCAAATCAGTGAGTTGCATGAATTCGGCACCGCCATCTAACAGACGATGAGAGCAAACTGCAATCTTCTCACTGATTGCACACTTCTGCTTATTTGTTAAATGACCTGCATTAACTACCGTTGCGCTCAATTGTTCCAAAAGCTGCGACGCGGAGTACGCGTCCATTAAAAACCTGTAAAAAATTAAAAAAAAATAATAGCGTATATGGCAAGCCCTGATGTTAAAACTATGATGCATACATTACGACGGTTTACTTTCATATTTTTGGTATCCCTTCTAAAAATTTAATATATTTTTTATTTCAATTCCCCAACTCCTCCCCATCCCAAGTCAATTTCGCTTATCTACGAGAAATAGATGAAAAGTTACATTTAGGCATTGTGATCAATACCCTCAGGCTTACCATTCCATCGTCAACTTTTAATAGGTGATTAGTTTGTTACACAATAAATGTACCGCAAAAGTGCTTTGTAAGGCCATGCAGTGGCGGATGTGCCCTAAGATCAAGTAGGCCTCGGCCTAGGGCGGGCAATCGTAACAAAAAATTCACTGATGATATCAAGAAATAACTGAAAGTAGATAGGTATCTGATCGTTATAACAATAATCTTCCTTAGTAACTTTAGTACACTTTATTTATAACTATAATAAATAATCATACATCAAATCTCAACAAATGATAATTTTCAACAAAAAAAAAAACCGACTTCAAACAGAAAAGTAATAAAACATTGTCAACGCCTATAACATTTGAGGATTGCCCTCGATTTCCCTGGGATGCCATCATCCGATATAAAAAACACAGATAAAAATAAAAATAACAGAGATAAAAATAAAAATATATATATGGTCGAATTGAGAAACCTCCTCCTTTTTTGAAGTCGGTTAACAAATGCTGTTACCTCAATCTGTGAGCTTTAACTGATTTAGGAATTGACATTTCAAACTGCCGAGAGCGCTTATGATAAAGCAGCTAACATAATAACAGACATATACAATGTCCTACAAACTAAACTAAATAAAACTTCTCCCCTTGCCGACTAAGTTCCGTGTTCAGCTCACTCGTTCAATTTATTAGGTAGGTAGCTGATCAACCAACAGGCTTGCTTGTTCATTGTTTTCTCTACTCGAAAAGTTGTACAATTTCTTTGCAGGAGTATGAAAGAGATTTTCAGCACAATCGAAATCATAAGCCGCTTCCTAGCGAGACAAATACAGGTGAAGATGTAACATATGTAGATGTAACATAAAAATGATTGCGAAAATTTCGAAATTACTGCCTTTTTTGATAATAATTGACAAATTGTCAGAAAGAATTAAATATAACAGGTGCTGCGATTGGGGCGGCTGGAACTTACTACATGGGCTGGGGCCTAGGGCGGCCAAGACTGCAAATCCACCACTGAGACCGGGGACTTGGGTGGACACTGAGATGGGACTTTCCTGGATGACCTGGCCCATTCCTAAGCCCTTTATTCACACCTACTCATTTATACAATATTGGTCCTCTTTCACAAATCCCAGGGGATATTATTTGTAGGGAATGTAAAATGGCCTACACACATGTACTCATAAAGAAGTACACAGTACCTCATAGATGATGTGGTTCCCGGTTAACTTACTCACTAGATAAAACGCGAAAATGTAATACTTTCACTTCACGCTGGTCTTCTGTGAGGCCATGGTCCTACCCCGGCTGAGCCTGTCCATTTGTGCAACAGCAGAAACTGTTGCGTGGCTCTACCAATGTTAAACTGGATATAATTGTTCAACTAGAAATGATCACAGTAACATTTCATTTTTATTTTATGTGATTAGATGGCAAGCTCCTGAAGGCAAGTAAGTCCACCTGATGGTAAGTGATAACCACCGCCCATGGACATTTACAACAACCATAAGGTTGCAAAGGTATTGCCACCTTTTAATGAAATGGGCCCCGGCTGCTTTACTCACCAGACAAAACGCAGAAACTTAATACTTCTACTTTACGCGGGTCTTCTGCGAGGTTGTGGTACTTACCCTGATGGATCTGCCCATTTGTGCATCAGCTAACTGATGTGTGGCCATACTCTTTACATAACATAAAATAAATTATAGCTATATATGTCCTGCCTATATAATATACAACTTCTTAAAGAAATAACGAGTTGAATGAAATATAAAGAAACAATGCAATGCATTTTGTCTACAATATTTCTTAAATATATCAATGATACTTACTTTGCAACAAATTGTTCCAAAACATTATAATTCCTAATACTTAAGTATTCATTGACCAATGTATCTGGAACCAAACCTGTAACCTAAAAGAAATTATAGAAAATATTACAATATACTGTTAAAACACAAATTTCTAAAATTGTAAAACTGTGTCACTTATGACAAAGAAATTATTGTAAATTTAAGTGATTTTTGATAAATATTCTCAAATTTTAACAATACCACTACATGATGTATCTTATAATTTAATTAATAATGTAACAAATATAGACAGTGGGAAATGTGGACACTGTAAATACATACACCCATACATTCCAATATGCCAGGTTGTTTGTAATGTTTGGTTGGTGGTTGTTTGTCATGTAATGTTTGGTAGGTGGAAAAAAAATAAAGTTGCATTATTAGTTAATAGTAATGTAATCATTGTAAGGTGTCATTTATTGCGTTTGCAATCCAAATTAAAATACAGGGAGATTTTTTGAGAAGTGCCCAAATTTACACAGGAGGTTCAGACTCGTTATTATAACCGTTTATTGATATAAAAAACAAGTGTTTTTTTGCAAAAAAAAAAGCCATTCTATTCTCTAAAAAACAGAATGTGTTGACAATGCGGTATTCATTCATAAATACCTAAATTTGACTATGCACGAACTTGTGTGCGTGTTAGTTATGAATGATCGCGCATAAAATAAATGAGTTGCGTATAAATGACGCACTTTTTGAGATAAGTTCAAATGTATTTAATTAATTACTTACAAATGATTTAAAATATTTATAATTTTTTATAGAACATCATTTATGTCTAGAATTTATTTTAAAAAAAATGGATACACTTAGAAGTCTCCCTGGATACTTTCACAGATGTCATAATCCAACCTACCAAAACATATGTCACATTATGGCAGATAAATGATATGTATTGCATGTATGAGATTATTTTACCTCTATTAAGCCTTCAGCAGTTACTTTTCCTAATAAACGTTGACAACACTGAAGAGCAGTGAGAGCCCTTCGCAAATCTCCATCACATGTATGTACTGCTTGTTGCAATACTTCACCATCACCAATATCGACTCCTTCAGCATTACAAACTTCTTGTAATCTAAAAATATTAACTAGTCAGTGTTACTGGGTATAAAAGCATAATTTACTTTATAATTCATCTACAGCAACATAGCGTTAATATCAACAAATATATGTGGTTAAAAAGACTATATTACAAAATTTAAATATAATAAGCTTTCATTAAACACAATGATATTAATCTCTTTGAATAAACTTTATTATATATTTTACCTCTTAATAACATTTTCCCTTGTAAGGGGTTTGAATCGGAACTTAGAACATCTACTTGTGATGGGTGGTATAATTCTCGAAACATAATTACAAATAAGACAAAATCGAGTAGTACGAGTCTCTCTTTCCATAGTACGACGAAGAGCAGCCTGTGCAGCTGTAGTCATAGAATCGGCCTCATCCAGAATAACCAGCTTATAAGGTGGACATGGTCTGCAACTAGAAGTTGACACATTTTAAAAAAAATTAATTTGCTATAAAATATTACATAATGTTAATGATAAAAATATATTTCTTAGTAATAAAGATGCCCATTACATTTAATAACAACCTAAAATTTAATAAACTTTATAAATGTTTGGGTTCAAAAATAATGTAATTTTATCATCCATAAAAAAATTAAGTTTTCAAAAAAATACATTTATAAAATCAAATTAAACTACATTGTTTCACTTAGCTTACTCTGGTCTTGTGTTGCTGACAGTAAGCTGAGAAAAAGACTTCACTTTGTCCCTGATAACTTGTATTCCACGTTCGTCAGAAGCATTTAGTTCTAGTACACGGTCCCGTGTTATATCTCCAAAAAGTTGTCTCGCTGCAGCAAGAATAGCACTCGTTTTACCTGTCCCAGGAGGGCCATAAAATAACAAATGTGGCAAATCTCCTCCCGATAAACATTCTCTCAAAACTTGCACGACTTCACCCTGGTCTACAATATCATCGATTGTTTTCGGTCGACTGTAAATGAAAAATAAATTTATTTATATTTATGGGCTTATACATTAAAGCATTCACAAGATTTAACAAACAAATAATATAAAAAAGACAAATAATATAATATTGTACAAAGTTTTTACGGATACAAACTATTTTTCTACCCAAGGTGCTGGCGGTTTCTTTTTAGCGGTTTTAGTGCCTGAAGCAGATGGCTTATCATTTGTTGACAACTTTCCAGTCTTCAAAAAAGCTTGCATATTTCTTAATTTTTTATTATTATGATCACCTAAATAATTGAACTTTCTAATTTTTATGTTTATTTCTGTTCTTACTTCCTAACTGCCTATGATATTATGAAAATGGCGGTAAAATTTTATTCAATATCAATTGAAATCAATTTGACAAAATGAAAATGACAACACAAATATTGTGTTAACTGTTAAATATTGCTATTAGCCATTGGCATCAGTGTTGCCTCGTATAAATTAAGACAACTGTGATTCCACTAAAAACAAACTGTCTAAGATCATAGATTCTATGAAATTACTATTAAATAGAAGGCGATACAAATCGTATCAAATATGAAAACTAGATATTAGTACAATATCCGAATATCGCTTACTGGCTCGTTCAATATCTATGTATTTTACAATATCTGATATTTCCGAAATCTGATGTACCGTGCTCACTCGCTATACCGACACGAATCGCGATATCATACGCGTTTGCCACAATATCTGATTTTTAAACAGATTCCGAGAGACAAAGCGCGTGAGATACAAATACTCACTAGTTAGAGAGGGACGGCAAGCAATGCACGATATCAGATATCGAGCGACAAAGCGCGTGAGATATAAATACTCACTAGTTAGAGCGGGACGGCAAGCAATGCACGATATCAGATATCGAGCGACCAAGCGCGTGAGATATAAATACTCACTAGTTAGAGCGGGACGGCAAGCAATGCACGATATCAGATTTTTAAACAGATTTTGAGCGACAAAGCGCTTGAGATACAAATATTACACCTAGTTAGAGCAGTACGGCAAGCAAGGCACAATATCAGATTTTTAAACAGATATAATGAATAAGTTAAGTAATTTTGAATCTTAACACCATGCAAATAAGATCCGTTTTAATTAAATACTAATCATGGTTTCAAAGATTACTACAACGTTAATATTATATTTCTATTGTTTTGTTTAGCCTTGAGCCGTAACGGGCGACAAAGCGCGCAGTTAAGTAATTTTGAATCTTAACAGCATGGAAAAAATCTCTGTTGCATTTAAATACGAATTACGGTATTAACGCTGTCTTTAAATTTTGTTTAGTCTTGAGCTGGATTGCATTGGTACCAAGCACGTAATAGTAAGGGATGCCAACTTACTACTTAAGAATTTTCTGCCTAAATTAAGGAAGAAAAATATAAATGGAAATTTTTTAGGAGGTAAATTTTTTGTGAATATTTTTATTAGTTAAATTTTATTCATATTTTTGGAAAAAAATAAAAGTACACAAAAAGAAAAATATAATTTAATAGTGTTGTGCTGCTTGGGTGGAAATCAGACCAAGGCTTATTTTTTTGTGTGTATATTTTAAATTCTTCGGCCCTAAGTTATAATACTGAATGTATTATTTTCTTCTTACACAAATTATAAAGATATTGTCACTCATGATTGCGTGTTTTAAAAATATGTTAAAGTCAATTATTAAGCGATATATAAGATGTTAAAATAAATCATTTTTATATTACTTCAATTTCTATTTTTAATGAAATTTTTAATTTTATCAGGTAATGTTTTAATTTTACCTTAATAGTATAAAAAAATCGTGATTTTAAATTCAGTAAGTTTTTTGAATTTAGTCAATTTTAGTGGGTTTTCGAATTTAGAAGTATTCTTTTTGAACAGTTGGTATCACTGGTAATATATTGATTATGTGTATTTGATCGTCGAACAAGACTTTCGACGATTAAAGTCAAACAGCTTACGTTCGTAAACGTGAATTTAAACCCGGAGGAATCTAAATAATTATTAACCCACACATAATTGTAAATAAGTTAAGTTTTAAAATATCAGGAAAATTATGTACATGGAATGAATCAACTTTTAAATACTCTTTTTTTTTTTTTTTTTAGAATTCAAGGTGGATACTGGACCGTAAAATATCTAGATATTAAAATACATAGTTTCGAAATCGGATATTTGAAATCGAAATCTGATTCAGATACGGTACTCAGAAAAAGCGATACGACCCATCTCTACTATTAATTATTAATTACTTATTAATTTTTAATAACTCTGTATAAATGACGTATCGGAAGACAGCCTCGTGAGAGAAGCATTACGAGAAACCGCTTTGTAACTATTAGGAATAGGCCCCTATGCTTATCATCGAGGCATCTTCGGTAATTCTCAGGTGTCCATCTTTAACACACAGTACAAAGCTAGGTTGAGTGTAGCGTTATTAGATAGTATTTTCACTCACCGGTGGCGTGATCGCCGAGGTATAAAATACCGTAAATAATAATGTAGTGGGGGTGGGTGTGGCAGTAACGGGCTGAATGGCCATATAATTGGCGATGGTACCACTGAACTGGAGTGAAGTGTATGTTAGGTGCTTTGATAATCATCCGGTCAGGCGGCACACCGTTCGATCATCGAAGATTTTTCGCCTTTGTATGTGGATGTGGTTTAGAACCATGTTGTATGGCTCTTTTGTAAGTAAATCGTAAATACGATACACGTTGATGATTAAGAGTTCTCGCGGTACCGGGTCCTCATTAACAAATTCCATATTAAACTCCTTTGAGATGCTCTTCTCTTTAAGCAAGTAAGTATAGAAGTACGTTTGCCTTTCAGAGGGTTACTGTGTGATGCGCAGTTATCGTCTATCATTTAGGAAGAGACCTGCATAATGGTCGGTAAGGGACATGGAGTGTATAATGTTCCTCTAGCCACTTTGTGTGAATGTCCGGTTGTCATCTACCGTTTGGGGAGAGCCCTATATAACGGTCAGTAGGGGAGATGGAGTACGTAATGTTCCTCGAGGAGCTTAGAAATGGTACACCACTTTTTCTCACCCTGAATAATTACTGGAGGACCAGTTTGGTAGTCTTGAGTGTGGATGTGGCAGGGGCTAAAGTGTATCAACACCAACATTCTACGGGGATGAAGCCTCTGACAATGATGTGGTCAGTTTTTAACAAGACTATCCGACTCTGCTTTACACCACTCGCATCCTTTGATCCTAGTAAAGTCATTTTGTTGAAGCTGGAGTCACACGGGGGACCTTTTTCAATCTCGGAGGCAACCAAAGAAGAAGCGTGGGAAACTGAGACACGCGAATACTTGGGGATGATGATGTCATCATTTGGGTAGGGCTTGTCACTCTTTGGCCAGGTGTCTTCAGACACTCTCTTGACGGCTGTCAAACCGCCCGGGGATGACGCTGTCCGGACCGCGCAGCATCCAGAATTGTCGGGTGAAGCAGTGGCGTAGCTATCGTATGTGCAGGTGGCCCCTAAGCTTTGAAAAGAAAGGAGCAGCTAGCTCTCGAATTTAGCAAACCTCGATGATAATCACAAATGTTAAATATACATTAACAATAACAGAACTCTTAATGAATGATTTGACCTAACTTTCAACATATGGACCAGGCGTCTTTGATAAGCATGAGCTATTTTTACCATTATTTCATTCAGTGCGTTTGTAGCACATTCATGTCAGCGATATGCTCATGTTCGTGAGAAAAATTCCACCCATTAACTTTTCAACTTTTCTTACCTCGGGTATTCGGGACTGCAGGCATTTATCAGATGTTTCATTGGAGATCTAAAAGTAAGAAATGAACTTGTTTGCTAAATTTATAATGTATGTTTTCTTAACACTTTTTTTATATTAATCCTCAGGCTTTTGAAATTAGAAAATAAAAACACAAAAAAAAATCCAACAACAACAACAACAAAAATAAAACCTCGTAGTCAGCAGAAAGATCTTTAATAAATCAGTAAATTGTAGATTACGATGAATTATTTAAGAAACAGCATTGGACAATATCGCCATCGACATTTAACAGTAATTGCAATAGAAAACAAGGCAGCATCAAACTTGGAGTGAAGTTATAGAGGAATTTGCAAAAATTATTTTTTATTCCCGTTTAGTAATATCATCTGTATACAATTTGCACTTAAGATGAAACATTAAAATTTATGGAAAATAAGAAGAAAAGATTCTCGCTTTTGCGGGAATCGAACCCACGTCTTCCGGATTTATTTTCTCTACAAACTAATTTTTCCCATGTACCTATAATAAACATTTCATATTGTCATGCATCTTTGTTTATTTATTCCCATTTTAAATACATAGGGATTCTAGTCCTACGTTTAGATTTATTCTAGTAGGAATTATTTCGTGCCTCTATATTCTATCCTTACTCCAATCTTTAAGTTTGAAGGATAATCGCTCAATATGAATTCAAGCTACGTAGAAAGAGGCAGTGGGGGGCTGGTTTTTTATCTATGCACCGGGGCCCTTGTCCACCTACCTACGCCAATCACGTCAATCAGGAGTTCCGTGAGAAAGTATTAAACCTCGCTGCCCGGAGACAAAGAGATGTTGGTAACTACATAAAAAATATTTGTACGTACTTAAAATCTACCACTCACTAAAAAGCACAACATAGCAGAAAACTCAGCAATGCAGCCAAAAACTACTAAAATTACACACAGATGTGGCATCTCCAGAATATTCGATCTCAACCAAATCTTACATGAATAAATAATGTTTAAAAAAATGCTTAAGCAAATCTTAGAACTTTAAGAATTTGATTGCTTTTATCTTTTCAGAAAATCGGGGGTCCGTTCGGAATTAGTATTTAGGTCTGTTTATGTCCGTAAGCCTAACAGCCTTTGTCACACGTAATCTGAAAAAGATATATGTCATCAGTTCATCAGTCATTGTCAGTGTCAGGAGTGAGATCTTACCTGGACCTGGATTACTAAGTCATTATCTATTTCGTTTCGTCCGTTTTATTAGAAATTTACGCGGGAAATCGGGGAAATGTTTTATTCTCATTATCTGAATTCATGTCTATAAAAATTTAATCATGACTACGCGATCCCAAAAAAAATCTTTAACTACGGCAAATGGTAACTCTCCCGCACAGAAAAGAATAGAGAACTCTTGGATTATAGTTATAAAAGGTGGACATATCCTTTTAAATACATAATAATCTTTTTTTTTTTAATTTTAAAATTTTTTTTTTTTAAAATTTTTTTTAAAATTTTTGTGATGGTTATGTTTTAATCTAATTTTTTTTCATTTTATGGTTCAGAACCCCTATTCGAGAATGAAAATTTCAGCATTATAACTCTTCCACATCCAGCACATGGCAATGCATCAAAGTATGGATTGGACTGTGTCCATAATAAAATGTATGAAGTGGTAACTTTTGGTGAATCATATAGGTCATGGTTTCTTGGTGACTATGTAAAATCTGATGGAAGGTTATTAATGATGACTCCAATAAATCCATTATTTGTAGGTTCGTTTATTCTTTTTATAATTATATCACACATATTTAGACTACCGTACTATGCGGCATTACGAGTTTTTGAGTTCTGTATACTCCTCTAATTACTACAAAGTTTTCCTAGCCCGCCTTTCCTCTAATTATATAAGTAAATCCATATACAATTTTAATAAAAGTCTTATATTCCTAGAAGCAAAATTTCTACATCACATAATAAACAATTCTTATTGTTTTGAACTGTGCTTAAATTTTTTATTTTTTTTAGTTTTACCTAGATTAAGGGAACAATGTAATAGCAGGGCAGTACCATTAAATGACTTGTTATCGGAAAAGGGGTTTGATAAAATTATTGACTTTGTTACAAATATGGACAAAATTGGAGATCTGAAGGTAATTTTAACTTGTTTTTAAAACTTGTCTAAAAAATGAAAAACAATTACCAATCCTTTATGTTTTGAGTTTATTCCTAAATCTCATTCAAATATTTTCAAAGGGTCCTGCCGACATGAAAGCTTACAAGTACAATGAAGCAAAAACATTAACATGGCTTGAAGGTAGAGTTCAGAAGGTAGCTAATATTCTAAAGGAGAAAAATATACATGTAAAGCCTGGTGCAATTTCAGACACATTCATATCAAGTAGCCTGGACAGTGACAAAATTGATGATGGTATGCACTATCACATTGATATCATAATACAAACTTTCATCTCCTGCCAGGCAGGCTTTAGTAGTCCCTCATAAGGTTTTATGGAGAGTGGGAAGTTTCTAAACAAGAAATTAATATTATAATTGTCAATAAGGTGGAAACAAATAGATACCAACAATAAGAAACCCATGTAATATTTGAAACCGAATGGTATCCACAAATGAGGTTTCTGTGTTCCATATTTTTATGTGTAAGAATTGAGAGTCCTTATATATTCAGGTATGGAGACAGACAACCTATCCATAAAATTATGGATTAAATAAGCTTAATAAAACTGTCACTGTTTAAACCCTATAAAGGGTGATAATAAAATATATTTATTTAAGAGAATATCTGGCAAACTAGTAGGTGGTTCACCTGATATTGTTGTAAGTTATTAATGCTGCCCACAAACACATACAGCACCCATAGAGCTCCAGTTACTTTGTAAACATTTTTTTTTAAATTAAATTTATGCTGCCTCTTCAATGACTCAAATGTGTTGTGTTTTGATTTTAGAATTTTATCTTAAATATGCCCATGGTATTATATCAGAGTACCTGCAAGATGATTTAGTTCAAAAATTGGAAGAAAAGTTCAATTTTAAACCTGAAATTATAGAATGTATAGGGAAAAAGAGAAAATCTGATGTTGAAAATGGCAATTTGAATAAAAAAGTAAAGTGTGAGAACATCTTAGAAGACCTCATTGATGTCAAAATAGGTTCAACTTTAAATGGCTCTTTGGAGATAAAGAAAAAACCTATATCTGCAAAGGAAAAGGCAAGACAAAAGGCTGCAAGTGGAACTAAAACAATATCAGAATTTTTCACTAAGAAATGATTAAAATATACATAAGATATACAAGATGTTTCTTTCTCAGTTCTTATTAACCCAATATAATGTAAATAAATTGTTTTATATTTAGAAATTTAAATTGTTTATAGTGCTAATCTTTGCACTTAAGATTGAACAGTGGCTAGAGCGTAAGGCCGCGAATGCCGAAGACGTGGGTTCGATTCCCACAGCGGCGACAATCTTTTCGCACTTTTTCTACATATTTTAATGTTTTATATTTATTAAAATAGAAACATTTTGTTGTTAGAGATATTTTTTATTATTTGATTTTGATTTATCTTTTGTGATTTTGCTGACTTTCACATCAATAAATGTACACCCTAACATGTACTTGTAAAAACTTGAAAAACATTGCCAATAGTAATGCATTCATCGACCTTAAATTATAGGACACTTCAACAAACCCCTGCAGAAGAAATGAATTGGAGCCAAAAGCCAGTCAGTGTATGGTGTGACACTAAAAGAAACAAACTAATCTACACGGTAGTTAAGAATTGCATTTGCACCATTGTTTTATTTTCAACTTTAACTAATTAGTTTACTTATATTCTTGTGAGAAGGTGCCAAGCAAACTGGCGGTTCATCTGATGTTAAGTGATACCCGCCACCCATAGCCATTTGCAACACCTGTAGGGTTGCAGATATATTGCCTAAAATCTTTTTAATAAACCTTCCAGTATATTTTTGCTGTGGTGAGCCTCGCAGCAGCTTCAGATGTTGCAAGAATGGTCAGGCTCATCCAGGTAATTACCACGACCTTACAGAAGACCGGCGTAAAGTGGAAGTATAACAAATATTTGCGCGTTTCATCTGGTGAGTGAGGTAGCCGGAGCCCAATTTTCAAAAGGTGAATGCATTGACAGCATCTGTAACTCTCGGGTGTAGCAGATGTCCATAGGCGGTGATATGTACTTAACATCATGTGTACCGCAACCGCCTGCTTGCTTGGCAACTTTTCACGTAAAAAAAAAGACAAAGATACATTGAACACAGAACTCGTGTGATAGCCAGATCTCACGAGTTGATACATATAAAAACGCTCATCACTTATGCCCGGTTCCTATATTCAACGAACGGCCGTTAGTTACATAGCTTCGTAACTTTCATAACGACTGGTAAAGAAAAGGCATGTATTCCCGGTTCCTATATTAACAAAAGGAGGCGTTTTCCTTACGAGCCGTAGCATCACCTATGGAAAGTGAGTTACTAGCGTTCCTTTAACCTACAAGTCGTTATGAAAGTTACGAAGCGATATAACTAACGGCCGTCGGTTGAATATAGGAACCGAGCATTAGTATGATGGATGTTATCTTACACGGGAATTTTGTTTACTAGCTCCACCGGTGGGTCCGGATGAGGACGATGACTTTTATTAACGGTCTCTTTATGGGATGGTAATTCACATCAGAGGGTTGGAATGGTTTTTGACTTCTGATGAACTTTGAAGTACCCGCGTAGTGTCGATAGTCTGCAATTGCTATGCAGGTCGAAATTACGCTGACCGCTGATACCACCTGGCACTAGTAGAAATATGACCTAGAGGCGGATGGACTCGTTAATTACCATAAGTTTATGAAGATTTGTGGGGTTTACGAGAGCAAAGAATACACAAGTCTAGGATATATTGTGCTTTTTTGGTAAATAAATTTATTTTCTTTCTTATGTCACAAACTTATGTTATGCAAGAGTTGTATATATTAAGTTTTTGCTTTTGGGGTTTTTACTGGAGGGATTAATTAAGCGATGGAGCCAGCCTGTAAGCAACGACGCTCTGTCTATTATCTTTTTAATAGACGTGGCGAATGTTTTTTTCAAGACTAAAGTAACTCCTAGGTACTTAACCATCCTTTCTCAAGGGTTGGCCATGTTATGTGATTTGCCCTAACACACTGCTCGAGTGACGGAAAGATTAGAGTTGACTACGGGGCCGACTCGTGTGAAGAATATTGCTACGATCATCTCGGATTTCAAGTCTATTCAATTACGTAACCAATGGATGGATGATCAATGGTGCTTTGTTTCGAGGTGAAAGGATCGCCTAGACGTTTATCCAAGTATAATAGGGCTGTGCTATCCACAAAATGTGCGTGATTAACTTGTGGGTTACTTGATTTGTCGCTCCTGTAGAGCGTTTAAAGCAACAGGAGTTTTGTCGAATGCTCATCGCGAGAGGGTGGTTCGTGGAGAGATTGTTTTCAAGCAGTTTGTTATCAAAAAGAGCTCTTCTATAGGAAGGCTGGGATGAGCCCGTGCGCTGAGTGCGAACACCTTGTAAAGCATTAAGCAAGCCGTTATACCAGACTGTGACATTGAAGAAGAGAGCACCCGTACTGGTGTGCTTGGGGTGATTAAGTGTTAGAGGATGTCAGATGGTATATCTGTGAAGGGCATAAGTCATTCGGTCGAAAACCAAATTATTTACGTTTCTATTACTATTTGACTATATCATACTCATAGAAACGGTACTGTGGAACATTTAAATCTGAACACAGCACCGAGAGGAGTTCTTATTTAGTATATATTGTACTATATAGTATTACTTTACATGTTTGTTTTATTGTAAAAAAATATGTTAAATAGTATATAAATAACGCAAACACTTTAATATAGAGAACAAAGCATTCAATAATTCTGTGTGTATATCACTGAACTCCTCCTAAACGGCTGAACCAATTTTAATGAAATTTTTTGTGTATCTTCAGGTCGATTCGAGAATGGTTTGAATTTCACACTTTTTTTTAGTTAACGGATTTAAGTTGCGTGTACAGGACAACGTCTGTACTGTCCGCTAGTCTTTATATATGTTATTCTTGTGTACGTGTGTATGTCACTGAACTCCTCCTAAAGGGTTGGGCCGATTTTAATGAAATTTTTGGTGTGCCTTCAGGTCGATTGACGAATGGTTTAGAATCTCAAATTGGTCCATTACAATCTTTTTTTATTTTTATATATAAGTTGTTGTCGGACTTCAGTCGTGTGTACAGGACAATGTCTGTGGGCTCCGCTAGTTTAATATATATATTTAATCTTTATTGCACTAAAAAAAAGGTGAGCTTAATGTTATACTGCATTCTCTACTAACGAACTCTACCTAAAACAGAAAGAGATCATTCTCTTGGCAGGGAATTCTCAAGGGAGAAAAGTATCAGTAGAAAACTATGCGTTAAATAGAATATTATACTGGCAACATTGCGGCCGTCGCCATTGCTACGTCCATATTACTTCGTCTTCGTATTTCTATAGGACTTTCAGTGGCCTCTAGAATACTACGGACTTTTTACATATATAAGTGAGTCGTGGACAATTTGGATACAGTGAAGTGTAACTGATGTGATTTATACCGTTATTGTCGTGAATAAAGACATTAATAAGTGCACAATATTCTTTAAATCGCGGCCAATGTCAGCAGGCGTGTCAGATCAGGTATTTCGTTTTTTACATATTTTTACATTATTTATGTGCAAATAATTGACTATTTACGTTAAGAATTGTTATTTTACCTCTTGTTTCATGTCTGTTGGGCGTATAGCGGATGAAAGGACAAGGGAACCAAGGTAAATATGGACCATTATGACGTTGCAAGTGTTTTGCCCATAGGAAGGATCTCGTACCGGTCGGGTTCGTGTCCGGTGTTCCCGGCGAGATCGATGCTTACCCTGCCGCCTTTTTAAACTCTATATTTGATTTTACTTTCCTTTTTTCTAAATAAACCTACGAAGTACACTAGTTCACATATCGAAAAAAAAACTATCAAAAAAGTATTATTATACTCCCTGATGAAATATTCTGTGAGCCGTGTAAGTGTTGTGAATGAAAATATGTTTATATATTTCGTAAAAAATATATAACAACATTAGCCAAAATAACAAAAGCTATTTTATTTAAAAGTTAAATGTAGTATAATAATGAATTTAGCTTAAGAAACGTAAGATTGGTATACATATTAGATAACATGAAAATCTTTTTAAAAATCTTACATTGTGTATCTACAAATGGTGCTTAAAATTTTAATTATGCATTAACACACCATTACAAAATTTTGCCTTGCTACAAAAAAAGTGAAATTATCAAATATGAATTACTTATTGCTCTAGAATCTTTATATACCTTTATTTTAAACCTTATTCTTTATTGAAACAAAGTAGTCTCACAAACAAATTTTAACACCAGGTATCTGTTATTAAAAAATGTTCCTTTAAAACGAACCAGCTATTTCTTTTGTTGTTGTTTTTATATTGTTAATTACAATATGTGTCATGTTTTAGTCCAAAGCTATTCTTTAAATAATCATATCATTTATATACCGTATTTGTACATATAATTTGTAGTATACTGTATTTTTTGTGAATGCAAAGCTTTAGTAATTTCCCAGTTTAAATTCTACTTTTCCAATTGATGCTTAAATATCCTTATATTTAATTATTGCTATTAACACATTTTAAATTTTTTCCATTATCTTAAAGAACACTATCTGAAAAACATAATTCTTTAATTGAATGTTCATAATAAATTACGGTGGTAGGTTAGTACCACGACCTCAAAGAAACCCGTTCGTAAAGTAGAAGTGTTGGACTTCTGCATTTCGTCTGTTTAGTGAGGTAGGTGGGGCCCACATTATTAAAAAGTGGCAACGCATCTGCAACTCTACGGGTGTTGTAAATGTCTATGGGCATGCGGTTATCACTTAACATCAGGTGAACCGTCGGCTCGTTTGCCACTTTCTCACATAAAAAAAGAATTATGTTATTCTCATTTATGTAAATTATGTGAAATATAGCATATTATATGATTAATTAACATTGCGGAGGTTTCTCAGCATACATATAATATGTATGATGTAAATTTCATTTGGCTTTTATCCATGCATTTAATCACAGTTATATTAATCACATTTACACACAAAAATATTAAAATTTGGATTACTGCCGTCTAAAAATTATGTAGTGCTATGCCTTGTTGCAATTAGTCATATAAAAAACCTTTTGTTTATAAAATTGTTTGCTTACATATAACAAAATAAAAGATTTCTTGTCATACACAGCTACAACCTTTTGTTTCTAAATTGTTTGCTGTTCAGAAAATATCTGTACATGTTTGATATTTTCTGCTGTTATATTTAGTACCATAACAAACTTTATGTAAAAATCTGTCTTATGATTATCTATATGATTATGGTTATCTATATATTTATCATTGTTAAATGACATTCTAACATCTAGTAAGCTAAGCTAAGCCTAGCCTATATACAGATTTAGAAAATTTGGTATATTTTAAAACAATATTATTATTAATTGCAGTGACAAATGTACCCAAAGAGCAACAGTTAGAGAGTGGAGGTGATGAGTTAGCGGAGGTGTCATGGCGTCACCAACAGCAACCATCGTATGCACCACCCATCTCCTCAGCAGGCGATCCCTACACCGCGGCAGGTAGGTACATAATTCAATTAATATTTACTAGAATATGTTTTCTGTATTGTTATCAGACAACATTTTAATTTGTTAGTACAAATGAAGATATTCTTGTAATGGTTTCTTTTAATTGATGAAAATGCTCCTTTTTGATTGCCATCCAAAAGCTAGGAAACTAAAAAGTAAGGTCATATGAAAAAAAAAAACAGCTATTTAAATTTATTTACTTGTTACATTTATTTTGATTTCTTTTATTTATTTGATTTTATTCCATAATAGTGTCCGTCCTGTGAACTTGAACACTGTAAAGTGTAAAGTGTTCAAGTTCACAATGTTTGAAATGTCAGGAATTTAAAATAAAAACATAATATGATGAAATAATTTCATTCAAAAAAGCAATATGCACATCTGTGTTAGACATTGATAATTGTTTTTTACATTTGCACTGAAAATTACATTTTTGATTTGCAGTGTTGTTATCGGATTTGGCTTTTCTAATTTTTAATTAAAATAAAAGAAATCATAGTCCATAAAAATTTTAAAAGTTTGAGCAAATACCTTGCTGTAAACAAGTGCTATATTTCTGTTTTGATATAATTTTAGTTTATGAAGGCTATTTATTTATTTGTACATATTTTTTTCTTAGTTATAATCTCCCATCCAGTATTCCAATCGTTTTTGCTTTTATTTTTTCAGGTTATTATGGCACAACTGCACTTCCTTATCAAGCTTTTGGAGTTGGGGATGGTACATGGTCCACCAATGGAACAGCCGACCCAATGACATTCCTCGGAGGATACAATCCTCACGATTCTTATGGAATGGATGGTAGCTAGTATTAATGAAAATTACAGGATAAAGTTTTAGTTGCTTAAATGGCCATAGAAAGTTGCTTTGATATTTGTGGTTTAAAATTAACATAATTGTGATATTGCTGTTCCAGGTGTATTCGGACCATCAACGACGCCGTTCTCAAACGCTGCATTTGGGCAGCCTGCGTCAACTTTTAATTATTTCCATGGAAATGGTGACTATTCAACTTGGCGGTCAATTAGGTCGTGCGAAACAGTACGATGATTACTATAGGACCGATGGATTATACGTACCAGATGGGATTAAGGCTGTGGACTCAGGTGTCCAAGCTCTATCGCTTGGAGATCATAAATCGGATAAAGAACGAGTTTCCGAGCTCAAGGACGTTTCGAGTGGGTCGCAACCCAAAAAGATGACGTGGGCTTCCATCGCCAGCCAACCGGCCAAGCCGGCCCCTACATCTCAAACTGGCGGGTTAAAGAAGAAAGGGCCGGGTATGCCCCCGCCACCGATTATACCCGGCAAACATAATATGGACATCAGTACTTGGGATGCCGGTAAGACGGCTCCGGTGGTGTCTGCGCCACCGCCACCGCCTTTGCAACCGCCACCCGTGCCGGCTCCACTGCCGATGCCGACGCCGACGCCAGCGCCATCTACAGCGCCTCTCCAACGGGGCCCCCCGCCTCAGCACCAGCCTCCACCGGCGTGGGCGCACGCACCCCGCGCCCCCATGCCCCACCAGCCGAGGCCACCTCTACCCACACCACCACTAGCTGCGGCACCGGTCACTGCGACACAAGCCGCGACACCACACCCCGTACTCGACGAGCTGCGTGTTAAGAACAACTATAATCCGAAGGAGTTCGACCTGAGCGCTCCCCTTGCTAGATTCTTCGTAATCAAATCCTACTCTGAGGATGATATACACCGCAGCATCAAATACGAAATATGGTGCAGCACTGAGCACGGCAATAAACGTCTGGATGCGGCGTTCCGGGAACGCGAAAGGGAAGGTGGCGCTATCTATCTCTTCTTTTCGGTAAACGGCAGCGGTCATTTCTGTGGCATGGCACGCATGACCAGTGCTGTTGACTACAACTCCAACTCTAACGTATGGTCGCAGGACAAGTGGAAGGGACAGTTTCGTGTCAGGTGGATCTACGTGAAGGACGTTCCAAACGTGCAATTGCGTCATATCAAATTAGAGAATAACGAAAACAAGCCGGTAACGAACTCTCGCGACACGCAAGAGGTGCCTCACGCGAAAGGTCTTCAAGTGCTGCGGATCATGCACAGCTACTGCCACTCTACCTCAATATTCGACGACTTTATACATTACGAACGGCGTCAGGAGGAAGAGGACTCTCGCAAAGTGCCGTATCACGCTAATCAGGAGAATAGTCGTGAGGATCACGACGGGGGCCGTGGGTACCGTAACTATCGCGATTTTCGCGACCACCGGGAGGGGCGCGACGGACGAGAGGGGCGTGACGGGCGTGATCCGCGTGATGGGCGAGATCCGCGCGATGGGCGTGACCACCATCGCGACGGCCGCGATCCGCGGGACCATCGCGACATTCGCGATCCCAGAGACCATCGCGAATCCCGCGATCCGCGAGACTCGCGAGATCACCGCGATGACCGTGACGGCCGGGACGTACGCGATCATGGGTACCGTGATCGTGACTCCAATTACCGGCCCCACCATAAGGTTCGTCAAACACAACCCCTAACGACTTTAGCCCCAGGGATAAAGCATAATAAAATATAGCATCTTAATTCACTAAAAATTCTTGTTCTATAACGTAACTTGCGAGCCTGTTTTCATATACGGGTCTCAAATTTTTGCATTTATGAAATCTACCTGAATCTGGTTCGGCGCTGCTTCGAGCCTAACCTAATCACGCATCCCGATCCCACAAGCCGTTTGTCTTGTACTAAACATTCCAGAGATATCCTGGTTGATGCATACGTTTTCTTTCACTTTTTACTTCTTTTTTTTTTCAGGATAGAGACGGATCGCGTGGTCGTGGACGCCCTCGTAACTGATTGTATGTAATGTGTGAGAACATTTCAAGGACTGGCTTCTCTCCATAGTCAAATAGTACTCAAGTCAACAATTGGTGCCGCATGAAAAATCCAGTGTATATAATATACACGCAAGAGAAATCAATCTTACACTATCGCGACCGATTGCGCTAAACTGAACTATATTTATAACAGAAAATATTGATTGTTTTGAACAGTGCTCTTTAATAACGAAAAAACTTTCAACAAATTAAAATGTGCTTAATATTTTATACTTGATGAACGTTATAACAAACGGCTAGTGAACAGAACGTTTATTATCAATAAATTGTCATGTGCGATTCAGCACATGATTTTGAGTGGATTGTGAACTTTGTTTCAAATTTGTGGACTGAATCAATTACGAAAGGAAGCAATTTTATAACTAGAAAATTTTTTGGTGAGAGGAGTTGATCCTTTGATTAGGGACTGGTGATGTTAACATCGATACATGACGTCGCTGAGTGTAGTGTTAGAACAATCCCACATTCATCAGTGTCGGAAAATGTTATAAAAATACTAGTAGTTTATATCAGTGGAGACTTGTATAACTTTTATATAATACATTTAAATTGTAATCACATGAGGTGTGGACATTTTATATACATTTATTTTTATTCAAATGTGAATGAATTCTCTCGTGGCATTGAGATCCATTTAACTCCATGTACTTATAAATGGTATATTAATTTTTAACACTGGTAATTTTAACAAATTTTTAACGGATACTCAATCTTATTTGCCAATCTATCTAAATCATTATTTGGGAAAGATTAAATACTAATTTTGTATTAATTTCTATGGATTTAGCAAGATTGGAGATACGCTTGTTGATTTTTATATGTACATACATATACATATGTTTTCTAAAATAAAACTTAAAGTATTTTATATTTTTAAGTGCAAGCAGTGTGACGAGAGAAAATTGATTGATAAAATAATGATGCTCCCATTTCAACCATTCAATAGTTTTGTTTGTTATCTTGTTACTATCCCCTCCTCCTCCCTCACCTTTATTTAAAGTGCCTTTCATTTATGCTTTTTAAAACTATTAGATTTATTTAGGTTTAGTGCCACATTATTACATTATTTTTATTTTATATAGCTGGTAATTTGCTGATGCATTCTACATTTCCTTGAATTAATTTTTATTATTTAGATGCTGATTTCTAAGAACAGAAGTATTGTTCCTAAAACCCTTGCCGCGGAACATGACGTACCGAAAATCATATAAAAATATCTTGTAGAATATGACTTCTCTACATTGTGTGGTTTGAGTTTGTGTTTAATTTTTGTAATCACAGTTTACAAAAATTATGTCGAACTTATATAGAGTTCAACTGATATTGGATTAAAGTCTGTCATAGATGTTGTTAAGTATTATTTTTTTGAACCTTCGCCTATTTGTTTGATTTCATTCTATCAATAGATGATAACGAAAATGCTGTTAAAATCGTACCTTGTACACATACATTATATTACAGTTCAATTTAATCATTCATATTTTACTTTAAAGAGACCACTACAACTACTTCTAACCTGGAGTAAAGAAACCAATCAGTTTATCATCTACAAGCCCCTATTGAAGGGTTATTTCTATTCTGAGGGTGATTGGCAATTATGGCCCACAACACTACTACGCAGAAAAGGGATTATATTTTTAAAATTATATAAAAAATTATCATAAAATTTTACAAAAACGATTTCATTTTAGTTAAACCTAATCCAAAATAAATTCATAGATAGTCTTGTAATTCGATGCATTTAGCTGGATAGTCCAAAACATGGTTTGAATTTTATTACTGTATATTATTTAGAAAATATTCCGCATAAGCTTTACCTATCCCTTTTGAAAGTTTTCGAAACTCAGTCGAAAAATAACGGTAGCAAGCTGCTAACGGCATTTGTTGACTGCGCTTTGTTTCTGCAAGATCTGAAAGTATTTGCAGACGCCCACTACCCCATCTGCACTAGTCGCTTCACAACGGTATCATTGAGAACGCGTCAAGACTCCTTTACTTTGCGCTCGGGTACTAATCGGTCTGCAGTAAGTTAGCGCGCCATTGATACGTATTTTTTTCAAGGCAACAATAATTAATTTTGACAAAATGTGCAGTTCTTGCTAAAAAAATTACATTAAATTTCGTGCACACCATTCGGACCTTCCTGCCGAATCGCTCCTTCCGAGTTGAGAACACACTCTCTACAAGCCGCCGCCTCACGGCTGGCGTTCCTCACGCCCTTGCATTTTACGCTCTACATCAGCGACATACCTGAAAACCCCCACGTCAATCTTGCGCTTTGCGTGGACGACACTGTGGTGCTCTTTTACACAGATAGGAATCTCAACGAACTTGCTACTCGCCTCCAAAACGCTGCCGTCCGCCTCAGTGATTGGTTTCGCAAATGAAGAATAGAAGTAAACCCCGACAAAAGTGTCGCGATTCACTTCACAGGAAGTACTTACCCGTCATACCTTTATAAAGGCACTCGCCAGAACTGAAAGCTAGGGAAGATCTCTACGGCCAAACGCCCCTCTGGGAGAAAAAGTCAAATTCTTTCATAACTCACATTAGTATCGTTAGAAACAAGCACGTTCATCTCCGGCCGGCTCCATCACTTAATCAATGCGTCCAGTAAAATGTCCCTAAGGGACAAATTATTATTACAATATAAGCCTGCGTACGACCTATTATGTCCTACGCATGCATGACCTTCGCCTACACGTACCCTAATCGCTTGCAAAAGTTGCAAATCATTCAAAACAAGTTGATCCGCCGCGCAACCGGTGCGCTGTGGTATTAACGCAACGTCGACCTGCACAATGACTGCAGACTCCCGACGATTCGCGAACATTTCAAAAACCTAACCAAACGGTTCTTCGACAGAGCCGAACATCATCCCAATCCTCTGGTGGTAAGCGCTGCAAATTACCAACCCGACATTAACTCGAACGTCAACAAGCGTCGCTCGCGCAACGCAACGTTCTCAATCATCGCCTTATAACCTTTACAGCATACAATTTCGATCATCATTGAAGACGATAATTCGATAGAGAGATGTCGTCATTGCTATATGATTTGTTTAATTTGTATTTAAAATGAAACATTAAAATTTAGTTACCTACTCCTTTTAGTTAACCGGCTAGTGTAAGGTACTTACGGTACGGTGTTTGTGGACCGATAAGGTAATGTAATTCTCTAAGAAATAAAATTACTTATCTACTCTTGCCCAGCCTAGATAAAAAAAACTGTATTAGAAATAGAGAAATAAAACTAATATTTGATCGATTATACTTAAACACAGATTAGAGTATAAAGAAAATAACATTCTAAATTGTGTTTCTTGTCAGGGTTTTCACCAGACGTCTATTGCCCCAATCTCTGTCCAGGAATCTGAAAGGACTAATATTAAACAATTATTCTAAATTTCACGAAAATCTTCAGTCTTGGTTTTGATATGCCACTTGTGGTAAAATGGTAAATTCATAAAATATTTATAAGATGAACATAAACTTATTCAAATTAAGTAAAAATATATACGTATAAATATTAGCAGAAAACGGCTTAAACTGCAGCTTTTAATTCTCTGCTGTGTTATAAAATTTTTTCAATAATTACAAAATTCCTCAATAAAATAAATTTAAACTTCGAAACTGGATTACTATTATTTTGTCCATTCCATTCAACGATGGATTCGATGCTGGTATGTCTCATAACTAGTTCGCAATTTCAGCTTTAATAATATCTCTTAATAGATTTCACTATGAACTGCACTGCAGTTTAAGTCGAGGGTTAAATCTCTATCTGAGGGCTTTGCATATGTGTCGTGCTTTGCCTTCTTAGTCGATTTTCTATCTTTCGTCTACAGAGGTCGCGGAGTTGCAGCTGAGTTGACGGCGATGGGCGTTATCGTGTCGTGGTTGTAGAATAATAGTACTTGTGTTTTTACCGAGGCTGTTTAACTGTCGTTACGCCCTCCCCCCCTCTCCCCCACAATTACATCTCTTCCGATTAAGCTGTCAAAGCCGCCAGATTAACGGTAAAATAAAATACAAAAATAGTGGGTAAAATAATGTAAAGACTATAGAATATATATATATATATATATATATATATATATATACACTTTGGAGACACTATTTTATACATTATTTTGTCATCTCAAAAATACTAAAATTTAATGCAAGCATTATTAACACTGACACTTTTAGTTATACGATGTTATCGGTTTAGCATAAACTATGTTATCACATCAGCCAGTGTCAGACTGTTAGACATATTATTTCCGAACGAAAAAATGGTTTCACTGCGCTGAGCATGAAAGGAAAAATTGCTTTAATTTTTTATTACAACAAATACGACTTGTTGATCATTAATTAATTAAATATGTTTCAGAAACTCTTCATTTGTGAAAATCATGAATTTGTGAATACTTTTGCTGTATTTTCTAGGGGTGAACCTAAATGTTCAATCTGTTTTGGGTTCTGCTGTCATTTAACAAGTCCGAGGTAGTGAGTGCTATGTTCTACTGCTAGGTACTACTACGACCGGCTCTCACTTTAGTTTCGGCCTCGGGTGGTGCATAACGTTGTGTCTGTGTAAAGTCAATGAAACAAAACAATGTTATCGTGCCGGTGTCAATGTTGGATAATCGAAATATGACTATAACATAATGAGAACTAAAGTTCTCGTGTATTGTATAGCTGCAAGCTTTTTAATGTAACGAAAAGTATTTTAAACGAATTAGTGAGTGGAGATATTTTTGTAAAAATGAGACATGCATTCAAACGAAATGCAAAAAAGTGTATCAGTGCAAGTAGATAGTGATTTTGCTCTTTTACTGCCAAGCGGGGCTTACGAAATTAAAAAAATGGAACCAAGATCGAAGCTGCGAAAAGTTATACTGTTTTGTTTACTGCTTTCACTGTTTGGGATGGTGGCCTTTGGATATTTTTGTCCTGATCAGGTGAGTTCTTTGGGATAAATGTACAATTTATAAGTTTATTTTAGAGAAAATAACCATATATTGCTTATTTAATTATCATATTAATATATTACGATTGGTAAAACTATGTCCAACGGGTAATAGAATTAAAAATAACTTGTTAAATGGTATAAAATGTTAAGAAATAACAGGTATAATATAATTTAAACAAAGTTGTAAGAAATAAAACAAGCATTTATTTTTAAATAAAAATAAATATTTCATTAATAAATACTTTGAAATATCTGTAGGGTCAATAAGAGATATAAAGAAATTGCGAGAAAGAAGAAAAATGTGTTTTTTATTTGATATTTCTGCTTCATATTACTTTAATTAATATTTGCATTTATAAAATTCATTTTTATTTTTGCAAAAACATTATTTTTTCACAAAAAAAATAATATAACAACAATCCCAATAATGTTTTCCCTATTATTCACTTATACTTGGCTATTACATGATTCTTATCACTAATTAAAACTTAATTTCTACAATTATTAATTTATGTTAGAAGTAATTTCCATTAATTACTTACACGCAGCTTAATATAGTTACAACTGATATGGTTTTTGTTTAATGTGGATATTAAGATTGGCAGATAATGTATCATCTTCCAAGGTAGAAAGATACAAATAGTTTATTCCTGAAAGAACTAATAATACGAATTACCTGTCTGTACTCTGTGTTAGAATTAAATACACCCACCAATATACTTAAATAATATTGGTGCAAATACAACAGCCTATATGTCATCAATATGCCGATCCATTAATTTTTAATTATCATATGCTATATGATAATTAAAAATTTAGCTATAAGCATTTAGTCTTTTCCTTTTTTGGTTTACAATGGCTAGCTGTTAGTTTATATCCATCCATACATAGGGGCTGTCAATTAATCATGGCAGGTTTTTTAGGCATTTTTTAATTCACTCCTTCCCCTTGGTGATACATGGTGAGGTTTAAGACTACCCCTCCACCCCCCACCCCCAAATCACGTGTATTTTTAGTACCTATGAAGAATCTTAAAATTTTAGCATATTTTTAAATAAAAGTTTAGAGTATAATCTAATCTAATTTTATTCTGAAATTAAGGACCATTTTAAAAATGTAACTTCGCGTCAAGGTCACACTGCACACTGCTTTTTGGTTTAGTGCGTTTAACGAAAATACACGTGTATTTATTTTTTCGTCAAACTATCTTACTAAACCCCCCCCCCCCCCCCCCCCCCTGTGATATTTCGTGATTTTTGCCAAACCCCCTCCCCCCGTTTTGAGCCTCACGTGATTAATAGACGGCCCCGTATCTGTTTTCTTCCTTGAAAATAAATATATATATACTAATATAAAATAACATTTTGAGTAATAAATTGCTGTGGCAAGATATTTTACTCATATAGAAACCATACATATTATTAAATTGTGTTCACAACTGATTAGTTCTTGAAAATATCGTCTTAAGATTTAAATTAATAAAGACGCGATTTTCATTTAACTGCAGCTTTTACAAAATGTATATCACTCGTATGTGAATTAATCAGTGAAATTATTTAACTGGGACTCTCAGCCGCGGATTGTCGACTCCACTAATTAAAGAGGGTGGCAGCCATGCAAGTGGCTTTCATTTGTTTTTGCGTTCTCAACCAGCCAGCCACGCGGCAAAAAAGCGGTTGCCTCGCCCTTCATGTAAGCAGAACGTTACTATTGACTGAGCGCGCGTTGACGCGTTTCAAAAAAATATTCACACATGTGGAACTACCTTAAGCTTTTGCAAACGCTGCTTTCATTTTAACACGGATGTATATGTTTTTTAGTGAAATTAAATACAGATTACACGTTAAGGAGAGTAGAGTAGTTTCGAAGTTATACGACTTGTGCGAACTTTTAATTTTTGTTTAAAATGTTTCTACGCGTATAAAGTAAAAGTATAAGTATAAAAACTGTTTGTGTTTCAGCAATTTTATGCGTGGTTTACTTTTACCGTTAACTAATTGAACTTTTATACAAAGCAATAACGCATACTACATCTGTACACATAGGAGTACCTACTTGATGCAGAAGTATTATACTAGTTTTGTTCATGACGTTGCCCATTAGATACGATCCACACGCTTCTATTTTCGCGCCAACTGCAGTTTACGCGATTGAAACTTGCTATACCTTTGCTGGTTACAAACAGGTAATTGTTGGCTATAAATGAACTAAATAATATAGTGAAAATAAAAAGGAACAGGGGAAAAAGGCGTTAAGTGGAAGTATGACAAATACTTTCGCGTTTCGTCTGGTGAGTGAGATAGCTGGAGCCCAATTTTCAAAAGGTTGTCAACACATCTGTAACCCTCGGGTGTAGCAGATGTCTATGGGCGGCGGTATTCACTTACCATCAGGTGAACCGTCTGCTCGTTTGGCAACTTTTCACATAAAAAAAAGGAAATGATAAAGTTTATGAAAATCCAATAAATTTGTTACAAGTAATAACATATTTCCATTAAAAATCAATATTGACTGATCAATATTGCTTGACTGTGGTCCCAGTATTGCTATGATATTTGGTGTCGCTCAATCAGTCCGATCGTGATAAGATAAATAGTAAACCATTAATTATGTAATCTAATCAAATATTTGTTGTGTATAAACCATTTTTAAAGTCCGTTCAGACCTACCTAACTGCTTTATTTCATTACAATTTATTGTGTACCGTACATTTATATATTCCAGTTACGAAAGCTTAATTTTATTAATTTGGTATTTATTAATTTAAATTAATTATTAATTTTAATTAATTTTAATTATTAGAAATTAACGAAACTTTATGGAAAATACATAATTATCGGTAGTTTGATTCGTGGCTAATTATGAGATACATATGTTTACCTCGCAGAAAATGTTTTTGGGTCAGGTTAATATTCATTAAATTTCTCTAACTTAAAGAAGAAATGTATATTTATTTTTTTATTTAATTTATGTCATCAAATAATTTCGATATTAGAGGGGCCGGCTCAATTAACACTGCTCTCTTTATGATTAAGTACCCGGAGGACCGAGCTTTGCTCAGTTTGTTTTTTTTTTTTTGTAAATCGTGTATTTTGGAAATTACATTTAGATACAAATTACTGAGTAATGAAATATGCATAATATTTTTCGATCTTACCGACGTAATAATAAGAAATATGAACTGATGTTTTTCACAAAAGAAAGAACTTTAAAAAAAAGGGAAAAAAATAACAAAATAACAAATCGACAAAAAATTAAAAAATAAAGAAAGCAATGATCTGGAATCGAAAAAAAAGTAAAAAAATAAATATGTAAATAATCGTGACGCGAACCACGGCCGTCTGTTTTGGGGCCCCCCGATTACCGACCGAGCTATTATGACATTTTCTCTTGCGGTGAAATTTACCGTCATATTCGAATTATATTTTTCGTTCACTGAAAACAGGGATAAAAGGACATTTTCTAAAAATTAAACCTAGCTAGATCGATTTTTCGCCCCCGAATCTACGCACATACTAAATTTCATGAAAATCGCTGGAGCCGTTTCCGAGATTCCGATTATATATATATATATATATATATATATATATACATATATATATATAATTGCTCGTTTAAAGGATAAGGTATTGAATGTTACATAAGTATTCCCCTCAAACCTCAACGTTTGTTCAATTCTCCCAATCTCGGAAAGAGGAACGAGGGAGCTCGCACAAAGGAAAAAATGGCTTCACATTGCACGCGCATTGCATTTCGCCCGTCAGCCCGTAGCAGGTAACTCACATGACCGCATATGGAGCTGGTGGCATGTTCCGCTCTCGGCTTCGATTGCGAGCTGAATGACAATATGCAGGATAACACCTGACTCAAACACATTGGACGCTTGTCAAATGGCTCTAACGATACCACGAACTAGCCGTTAACCGCGGCTCCGCCCGCGCAGCCAAAGGAAACTAACAATGACTTTTTTATTTTACACCAGAATATCTCGCAGATGGCTGAATTTTTTCCTACTTAGTTGACAATTATCATTACCTATATTTTGGACAATTCACACGATATCTTTATAAATTATAGCCTATGTGTTATTCTGATGTATAAGCTATAATATTTTAAAGTTTCATTAAAATCGATTCAGTAGTTTTTGCGTGAAAGAGTTAGAAACATCCATCCATACATACAAACTTTAAGTATAATTCATCCCACCATCGATGTATCCAAAACGATAAGTTCTGCTCTAGAGTTTATTGATCAACGTGACACATGCGAAATTTTTATGATCGTTATATCGATTTGCGTTCACCAATTTTCCTTCAGATATGTACTTATGGTAAGCTTTTTAATATTGATACATGTATTCATCTTTACACAGTCATGTTTATTGCACTGTACCCTTTTTGAACCAAAATTCTTATCAATTTTACGCCCTGAAAAAAAGAATGATCTCAATAATCAGAATGATCAATTCAAAGAGTTTAACAATCCTTTTGACAACTCAAATTACATTTCAAAATTGACAGCTGATTAGTTGACTTCTATGATGATCAGTGTTTCAGAAACCGGGCGTTAGTCTTATTATACATTTAACGCTAGTTGTTCTAAATAATATGTCGTTAATTGTATCATAATATTTTCTGTTAAAACTAACGTCTATGTATGTCTCGCACAGAAAGAAACATTACTGTAAGCATTGGCGTAACACAGATGCACTTGTTCCGGGAACGAAGAATACAGGTTTTGACGAAGGATTGCTCAGGCACTGTGAACGTATAACAAATAACGTTGTAAGTTACATAGAAAATAAATAGATGTTATCAAACGGAAGAAAACAGTTATAACATATTTGGTTTCAATAAAAATTAACATAATATTTATGATAATTTTAAAGGTAATTTGTTGTAGCTCTTTTATTTGTGCTAACTCTTTTCGTCTGTACTTATTTATATTTATTGTCATGGTTAGTATATTAATTTTCTCTGTCAAAGTAAG